AAAAATTATAAATTATCAAGGGCTTGTGACAGAGGAGGGGTATGGGAAGGAGGGGGCAAAAATGAGGAGCTGATACCAAGGGCTCAAGTTGAAAGAAAATGTTTTGAGAATGATGATGGCAACATATGTACAAATGTGCTTGACACAATGGATGCATGTATGGATTGTGATAAGAGTTGTACAAGCCCCCAATAAAGTAATTTTTTTAAAGACAGAATCTTGAAGTATTAAAAATGTTAATAATAACTGACAAAAAAACAATAAAATTTTTATTTAAGAAAAAAAAAAGTAACCTAACTGCATCCGCAACAATCCACTTTCCAAGGCACTCAGCAAGATAGTAAGGCTATGCACATCCCAATGCGGTAGGTTCTAAGAGGATGAAGGGGAGAGGGAAGAAGGGCAGTGGGTTGACTGGCAAACCTTCTCCCGGCACCCCTCCCATTCCTCCTTTCAGGCCTCTGCCTTGCCAGGCGCACAGGAGTGGGAGTCACTTGGCACAAACATGCTATTCATCACCGCGCTCAGGCTCTCCGACCAAGCAGCGAGAAGACTGCCATCAACTCCAAGATTGTCCTGCCTCCCAGGAAGGTAGGGGCCCTGAACAGGAGGCACTTGGCTCTCTCTTTAAGGGGGAAATATGAGTACAAGTGGTGAGCCCAAGTGCTGTCAGCTCAATTCTCTTCTGCACAAACATGCACTTTCTGTAACAATAGTGTGTAAATTTAGTGAACACTATTCATGATCAAGGGCCGCCACGGAGCTCATTCCACATGTATGTGTGGAGCAAGTACTATGACAACACACCATCTATAGCCAGAACCCAGAGATCTGAAGTGGTCGGAGTCATCTGGGGTCAGGTCCAGACTCTGCTACTTCCTCTTAGAGGTGGGATTCCAATGCGGGTCCTGAACCAAATCTCCTGGCATCGTCAGTACAGGCTAGTCTGTCTTCCTTTCCTTCCTTCCTCTGGGGCCTCTCGTTCTTTCTCTCTTCCCACCCTTCACGACTTTCTTAC